AGAGTCCATAGTCTCTCATGGTTTATCTCCTGATCCCTGCCTCCTGCGGTAGAACTGAGGTTATTATATTGGGGAAGCCTTTATAAATGAGCAGGGCCTTCTCAAACTTTGCCCTAAAAACTTCTTCCACTTTACTGACACATGTTCCAGTATGGGAGTCTCTGCTTTTCACTGTTCTCCTCACTCTTGGGAATGGAGGTAAGGTGGTGTGAGGGGAGAATGATGTGTTGCTGGACTTTCAAGAATGGAAAAAGGAAATTTAGAGAGGCTAAGTTAGAGAAGGAAAGATAAGAGTCCCTGACCCAGAGGGAGATGTAATAGAGGAGGCTGGGCCTTTTCAAGCACCTTCGTGGATAGTTAGGAACACCCACAGTGCAGGAGCTTGGCCTCTTTCAATGGTGGGGATGCCTAAGCAGGGACAGAATAGAAACTTGAGGCCTTGCCTCACCAAGCACCTATCTGTCAGTCAGAGCTTCCAGGACTTCCCTGCAAATGTCCCCCCTCCTTTTGCTGGGATGGCTCCCAGAAAGACATTAGTAAGATAAGACTGCCTTGGAAGGGGGGTGAAGGATAGCCTAAAATTAACACCTGGACCTGATGCCTAGCTTTTAGGTGGTGTTGTTAACAGTGGAAACCAAGGACCCCGTCTGCTTAAGCCTCAGGGCAAATAGGGGTTCCCTGTGGAGGGGCCACCAGGGCCCAGTGCTTCATAGCGGGGCAGCAGCTGGCAGCGACTCCAGGCAGCCTGGCCTCAGGCTGAAGCCCGGTGAGTATCTGGAGCCTGAAACAAAATGATGTTGCCAGGCAGGAATGAACTTTTAGGGTTGCAGGCCCATGGACCTGTAACCACCATGCTTCATAGGTTTTTCTTACTGGATCTGGTTTCTGGGAGCACTTGGGAGCTTGGTAGGGAAATCTGCCCATATAGGGAAGGAGGATTATGATAATGGCTTCTTGCTATGTCTGTCCCAAGAAGGTGTGTGTGCCTAGGTTCTAGTTCTTGAGGGAAATTGTGTTTATACAATATAGGGAAGGTACAGATTTGTCTTTGTATCCCTGTGTGTTATATGTTTCTGTTGTGGGGTGCATCTGGCTGGACCCAAGGGCAGAAGGGCAGAGCTCCTCAGGTTGTGGGGAAGAAGGTAAAGCTTAAAAATAGTCTACTAGGGGCGCTTGGGTGGCTCAGTGGGTTAAAGCCTCTGCCTTCAGCTCAGGTCATGATCTCAGAGTCCTGGGATCGAGCCCCACATCAGGCTCTCTGCTCAGCAGGGAGCCTGCTTCCTCCTCTCTCTCTGCCTGCCTCTCTGCCTACTTGTAATCTCTGTCTGTCAAATAAATAAATAAAATCTTAAAAAAAATAGTCTACTAATGTCTCAAGAACTTTTCCAGGGCCAACTAAACTCAGCCTCTTCCTTTCAGTTCTTAACATGTATTCATAAACCTAGAAGAGGGCCTTAGATAGAATTTAAAGGGTATAAAAACATGGATGAAGTAAACAACTACCTTTTTTTAACCTCTGATCTCTAACTGAAATTTACCATTTCCTTTCGAGGACAAGCAGACTGCAAAAGGCTATAGTATTACCAGTTCCTATAACTTGGTTATCAGAAGAAATCATATTTCATATCATATTACACTTGCAGATGAGATCTGGAAATATCATTTATACTTATCATTACTTAAATTATTAATAGATATTGGCATTTAATGTGTTAATAAATTACATTTATTACTACATCATGCAGTTTAAAAAATAGCTGTATTTCAATATAATTGGTTCCCTTTAATCTGATGTATTTTATTTTATGTATTAAAAAACAATCTGAGAGGAGTCAAGAGACTTAACCAAATCGCCATAAAGGTCAATGTCACAAAAAAAGTTTTAAAACCTTTGCCTTTTGGGGATCAGGAAGGGGATCCTTGCATAGAATGGTCACATAATATCTCTTAGCTTAATAACTACAGCAAAGTGAAGTTAGACAATAGACTAATTAGATTTTTTTACCCTATCTGGTAAGGCACAGTTCACTCAAGTGTCCAAGTCAGCTGGGGTCCATGACTTGATCTCCCTTTGGAGGCTCATTAGATGGGCCCTGCTGTGGACTTCTGGTATGACCTTTGTGAGAGCTTCAGCATTTCCTTCCATACTCCCTGCCTTCTTCATCTCCCTTGAACCAGCCTCCTCTTCCACCAAATAGCAAGGGAATCCCCACAGGCTGTCAGAAGAAATGGTCTGTAAAGAAATATTCCATGACCGAAGTCTCTGGAATTCAGCATGATCCTCAAAACTAAGGATTCTGGGAACTGCAATGTAACTCTACTTAAGGCAAGGGAAAGGGGCACGTGTTTGCTTTTAATGTTGCAGTAGAAAGAACAGGATGAGCACTAGGGAAACATGTATCTATTCCTGGATCTGCTATTTCCTTGATGTAAGGCACCTGGCAAATCCCTTCCTTTTCAGACTTCAGTTTTCTTCACCCACAAAATAGGGATGATACTACCTGTCCCACCGTGTGAAATAAGTTTGAAAAGCACAAGATTATAGGTGTATTCTGGGTTCTTGCTAATGAGAAAATTGACAATAACAGCCATGTGACCTTAGAAAGAAGTCCCTGCTCTCCTCTGAGCCTTGGGCTTTTAATCTCTAAACTAAGGGAATTAAATGAATTGAAGCATTTCTCTGAATTTATAGAACTTTAACTAAGGGAGCAATAGTAGAAATTGGAGACCTAGGTAATAATAATCACTTGGTACTACAATTACTGAGCTACTGACTACTACATTCAGGTACTATTTTAAATGCTTAACTCATTTAATTATTAATTTAAGTGTTAACTCATTTAATCCTAACAATAACTCCCTGAAGCAGGTACTACTATCATCCTCTCTTTAGAGATGAAGAAGTAGGCACAGAGAGATTAAGTGATCTTCTCTAGGTTACACAACTATTAAGTAGTGGAGCTGGGATTGAAGCAGAATTCCAGAGAATGTCTTACCACTACTTTATATGTCCTCTCATTATGCAGTGGGTATAAAACAGACCCATATAAAGGAGTTACAAAGCAGTTTCATGACTGCTATGGTTATATAAGAGTACAAACTCTGGAGAAATTAACCCATCAGAGAAATTGCATGTGACAGAAAGAAGCATGATGTATATGGAGAGCTGTCATTTATTTTCCCTTATTGCTGGATCATGGGGTATAAGTAGAGGAATAGCAGGAAGTGAGCCTGGAGATGTTACTGGCCAAGATTTGCTCATAAAGGACCTGTGAACCAGGTCAAAGTATTTGGGCTATACTCTGAGAGAAAATGGAACCATTAAGGGATTTAAAACAGGGGATTCACACAGACAAGATTTGTGTTTTTAAATGATTGTTTTAGTTATAATGTGGAGAAAATATTGAGATGGAAAAACAGCTAAAATACTACTATAATAGTTGACACAAAGAATGATAGGTGCTTGGGTAAAGCACTGGCAATGGGGATAAGTCTGAAGGGCGTGGTCTATAGAGGTCTTAGAAAGTAAAATCCTTAAGACTTGATGAGTAATTGGATGAACATAGGACAAAGATATAAAAGGACTGAGATGAGTCTTGGGTTTCTGGTTTGGTTGACCAGATGAATAGTGAGAAACAGATACAGATCTACTTTGGTGATGAATGGTGATGGTAGTGGTGATGTGATACTGCTGACTTTGAAGTATCTGAAGAAACTCAGTGAATACATTTTGCTGAAAAGAGAGCTGGGGGGCTTGGAGTGATAAACTTGAAATCATCAGAATTAACATGAGAGCTGGAGCTCTGGGACTGGAAAGAAGAGGATCAAGGAGAGAACAAAGGGGAGCATAACTATTTCAGGGTAGAACATAGGGGAGAAAAATCAGGAGAGTGTGCTGGTCAGGAAACCAAAGGAGGAGTATGTAGGAGAAAGTGGTTAATGGGGACAGATGTACCAGGAAGGTCACAGAAAGAAAGATCTGAGAAGAAGCCAGCAGATTTAACCACAAGGATGAATTTTTAAAGAACCATCTCAGTGTGATGGAGGAAAGGTGGAGCCAGACTGCAGAGGGTAAAGAAATGAATAGGAGATAAGGAAGTAGATGGTAGACAACTTTTTGGATACGTTCAGTGAAAAAGAAAGAGATAAAGAGAAAGGTAACTAGAGTAAGAGAAAGGACCGTAGAAGTGTTTTGTTTCCTAAGATGGTTGAGGGGAAGGAGCCATTGAGGAGGCTGATGGGTAGATAGAGGAAACTCACCTTTAAGGTAGCTGTTTTCCTCTGAATAGCACCATGAAGCAGGGACAATCATTTCTGTCTTGTAGATGAGGAAACTGAGTCCTGAAGAAGGGAGGAGATTTGCCCAAGTCTTCTGAGCTAGGAACTGGGGGTGCTGAGTTGCAAACTTAGGTCTGTCTGATTTTTAAAATCCTCTACTTATTATTGCATACCTCAAATAATAAGACCATACATGGAGTTGATGCTAGTGGGTGAGAAGGGGCCTAAAGTTGAGGGAGTCCCCACCCACCCACCTCACAGTTTTTTTCTATGAGGTATGTACCTAAAGTACCAGGCTAACAAAGAGGGGTGGAGGTAGATGGTGAATAAAAGGAGATATGTGGCCCTGAGACCACGGCTGCAGGGTATGGGAGAGTAGGGAGACTTGAGATCTGAAAAACCTACCAGCTTACCCTGATGACATTACAAACTGAGGTGGGTGACTTTGTCTTTGGAGCACTAGGAATAGGCCAGGTAAGGTCAAAGGGTTAAGTCAGTTATTGGGCCATGGATAGTTTTATAAGGCCTAGGAATAATGGTGAGAGAAGAATTGAGGGTTGAGGCAAAGACTCTAAGCTGTATTGGGCAGAGATGATGGGAAAAGGTTTGACTCAAAGGGATGGGGACTCCATGGGATCCAAGGAAGTGCTGGGAATCGAAGCAACTTTTGTATTGAAGTAGTCCTGGGGGATAAGCCAGTTGTCCACCAAAGAGGACTTGTCCTGGAAATGACTATTTCCTGCCATCTCTTTGATTTCATTTTACTTGAAGTGTTCTTTGTAATGTCATCTTTACTTAATCAGTAAATGTCATTCAGCATCCATTTCCTGTGTAACTCTGTTGCTAAGCATGAGGCCTGAGTCTGAGGGGAGGTCACATATAAAGGACTGTGAAGAGGTTGAACTTCATCTAAAAGGCTGACAGATGGAATTGAGGGCCCGCCCCATGAGACTAATGTCAGAATGCTTAGGGATGACAACTTGACAACACAAAACAACATTCTTCTGGCCTAGCAACTGCCAGACCAGAGCCACTTCATTAGTCTACACATTCTGAAATAAGGAAGATGCCTCTATCAAATCCCCAATCATGAGTCCTTCTGGGAGTGGAGGAATACAAGACGGATACAGCATTCCTTATCTTGGAATTATGCACTAACGCACAGATAAGTGCAAATATAGTGTGAAAGTTCATAGCTAAAGTCTAGATGTGATCCTTTGGAATCCCTGAGCAAGAAGAGGAGATTAGGGAAAGCTTCCCGGAAGTAGGAGATGAAGGTCAAGCAGAACAACATATACAAAGGCACCAAGCTGTGAAATGGCCTGATCTGTTTTGGAAGCTATCTCTGAGCCCTAAAATAAGATGAAGTAGGAATTGGAAGAAAGGGGCCCATGAGTGAAGAGCCTGATGATGAATGGAGGGGGGAAAGGGCTGGCATCCAGGCTTTTTGATGTGGGGCCCTCAGTCTTCCCCCAATATTTGTCACCCACAGACCTGGCATATCCTCCTGCTCATAATGAGAATAGTTCTGCTCCAATCAATCAGGATGAACCTCATGGACATCACCAAGATTTTCTCCCTCCTGCAGCCCGACAAGGAGGAGGAGGACACCGACATGGGGGAGAAGCAGGCTCTCAGTCAAGCAGTGTATGACAATGACTCCTATACCTTGGACCAGCTTTTGTGCCAGGAGCGTTACAAACGTTTCATCAACAGTAGAAGTGGTTGGGGTGTTCCTGGGACACCCTTGCGCTTGGCTGCTTCTTATGGCCACCTCAGGTGTTTGCAGGTCCTCCTGGCACATGGTGCTGATGTTGACAGTTTGGATGTCAAGGCACAGACACCACTTTTCACTGCTGTGAATCATGGCCACCTGGACTGTGTACGTGTGCTTTTGGAAGCTGGTGCCTGTCCTGGTGGTAGCATCTACAACAACTGTTCTCCCGTACTCACAGCTGCCCGTGATGGTGCTGCTGCCATTCTTCAGGAACTCCTGGGCCATGGTGCAGAGGCCAATGTCAACGCTAAACTACCAGTCTGGGCATCAAACATAGCTTCATGTTCTGGTCCCCTCTATTTGGCTGCAGTCTATGGGCATCTTGACTGTTTTCGCCTGCTTTTGCTTCATGGGGCAGACCCCAACTACAACTGTACTGACCAGAGCCTATTGGCTCGTGTCCCACGGCCCCGCACCCTCCTGGAAATCTGTCTCCACCATAACTGTGAACCAGAATACATCCAGCTGTTAATTGATTTTGGTGCTAATATCCACCTTCTATCTCTCTCGCTGGACCTGAACTTGCAGGATTATAAAGGCAGTGCATTGCTGTTACAGGCCCGAGGTAAGTTTCAAGCATCTCAGGTCTATGGACCTTCTGGCTTTGAGGTCCAAGGGCCACAAATCCCCCCCGAAGCCAATCCTTCTATGATGAGTTGGAGAAACAACCATCTTCCTCCCTCTCCTAGGACCCCATTGGAGAAGATGATTCTTTATTAAAGAAGGGATCACTAAGATAAGGTGGGAGTAGCATTAACAGAATTTCTGGTTCTGGCTCTGCCAATGATTGTTTTGTGGCCTTGAACACGTGTGTTTTCCTATTGTCACCATGCATTGAGAATAGTGTGTGTGGGGGGGGAGGCACGGTTCATAGAAGGGAGAAAGCAATTAGAGCTGCAGGAGCCAGGGCAGGGTGGATGCAGGCTTAGATGGGAGAATTACACTGAGAATTCCTTCTTATGACTTGTTTCTTCTTGCCGTAGCCACTCCTCGGTCACTACTATCACAGGCCCGTTTAGTTATCCGCAGAGCTCTGCTCCAGACCAGCCAACCACAAGCCCTTGACCAGTTGGACATTCCCCCTGTGTTGATTAGTTACCTCAAACACCAAGTGTAATCTTGCAGCCTTACCATAAACCCACAATGCCTACAAAAACCACCTGGGGATCCAGGTAGCTGGAGGACACTACAGCTACACCTATTCACCTAGAGCTGCTCTCCTGTATTATCCTCCACAATAAAATCCTCATCAAAATAAATCCTGGTGGCTGTTATGACTGCTATGTGTATGGGGGGCGAGGTTCACTGGGGAAAGCAGTCTGGTTGGCCAAGTGGAAGGATGGTAATTATCTGGCATTTGACAGGCAGAGGAGTCCTGGCTATGGAAAGGGGAAAAAAAAAAAAGTAACCCAATGACTCACACCTCCTTCAAGATTCTCAAGAAAATTTAGAACTGTGTTGTCCTAAGAAGCAAGGTCCTAAAGAATTAAAGTGGATGCAAGTGTAGCATCTGCTTGCTCAGCCTTGTACCTCCATTCACTTCTCTGACTGCTACAAGGCACCCTTTCTGGGGCTGTCACCTAACCCCCTATTCCTCTGAGTCAAGTAACTAAGGATCCTTCCATTCATTCACCTTGAATCATAGACTGCATACCCACTAGTCCAGTTTATAGTCAAGATATAATTGTAGTGCATAAACAATGAATTCTGGGATACTGAAAAGAAATAAAAAATTAAAGAAAGACATAACTGGGAAAACAAACTACTAAATATCTATAGCAGAGAATTTAATGCAGGTAAGAAATATGTTACATAGAGGATAGGTTCAGAATCCGAGCAGGACAGGAAGGTAACCCAGAAATTAGTTACAGCAGGATGCCAACACTATCCCTAAACTGAAGGGATGATGGAGGAGGTATGGTCAGAATCTTGGGACAGGGGTCCCCTCATGGAAAGCAGAATCATAGACTTGTCCCTGGGTGCTAGAACCACAGAAGAAAGATGCTGGTCAAACCAGAAGAAAGGAAAAAATACCCTCCCCTTTTCTTCATTGCTGCCTGTCAGACTGTCTCCAATGTCACTCTCATTGGGGGAAAATAGAAGTCAACGAAGATGAGAGCCTAGGAAACAGCTCACAGGGATCAGCCCACTTGCTGCATAGGGCTGAGCAAGGGAAGGTGAAGAATGGAGGGGCAGTGGGAAAAAGTGGTATGTTCTGAGCCAGGAGCAGGGATCACATAGTAGAATTGGAAGTGCATACATTGGGAGCCACAGAAGAGACACTCCAGAGATACCACCAGAGGCACAAAAGCAGAGGCTAAATACCATGGTTTCTTCATTTTTCTAATATCTCACCCAGTTCCTCATTGAACCCAGCCAGACGATTGATGAGAGGACCTGGAAAATGCTTCCTACAGTGGTCAGTCCCCCCAAGATGTGGACAAGATCCTGGACCAGGATAAATAACCACCCAAATTCAGATCTAGGCATCTAACAGTACCTTCTTGTATTTCTCCTGCACAACTGTGGGTGGGGATATGGACAAATAGTGAAAGAGACACAAGATGACAGAGTGGAGAAGGAGACCCCAGATAATCTTTAGATGCTTAGAGCTCTTCCTAGGAGCTGCCTTGACAGTCCGTCTACATCATGATCTCCTATTATGAGAAAATGGAGGCAGAGGATAAGTTCTTGAGCTGACTTGCCTCCTTACCTCCCCCACTCTCCCTAGTTCCTAGTGCCTGAGAAACTTTAGGAAGGAAGGTAAGAAAATTGGACATCTATCTCCATAGTCCTGTTCCACTCAGCTTCCAGATTTTCAACTTTGCTTTGGAGAGTATGCAACTGTTTATCTACAAGGAGCAAAATAACAGAAGGACTTAGCTATAAACACAGACAGATGGATTCAGGGAAGACAGACATAGCTCTTTTCTACCTTTCTTTCCATCTGGTCTCCTGAGGAATGAACTGTCCTGGACCCCCATGCTTTGCTCTGTCTCCCATCCCTTTAGGGCTCTTGAGGATTAGGAGTCAATTTCAGCAGTTCCATCTGCTATAGGCCCCTGGGAAAGTACATCTTTCAAATGGGGCCTGGCCAGGGAGACCTCTCCTATGGCATCTGGGACATGGATTCTCTGGCTGACCCATGAAAGCATGTAGATACTCTGGGCATTTCAAAAGGAATAACATTTGAGAAGGATGTAAGAGCACACCAAATTCTAGGAAGAAAGGAAGGGCTGGAACTCAGATGAGCAGACTGAGAACCTGACAAAGTCAAATTCCCATAATTGTCCCAGCTCTCCAGACTACCCCTAGCTGTTATTTTTCCAGTTGCCTGTGTTGCTGGTGAGGAGAGACAACTTCAAGGCCTGGTTCCTTATTTTACTCCCCTCCCCAGGCATGACCATTCCCATTTGGACAATAGGACAGGGGCTGGAATGGGTCATTTTAAAGTCTGATGAGAAATCTTCTGAGGCAACTTTCACTAGGAGGCATGAAGAGGAGAAGGCAGAGGTGATATGTCTGTTCCTGGAGTGAAATCTTCCCCTTGGCCTTTAGTTTCTTGTTGGCATTGGCCCTCAGTGATAACCCAGTCTCCCTACCACCACCACACTCCCACTTCCCTAACAACAACTACCAGTTTCCAGGAAGCCATATCTTAACCCTTTCAGGTGACCTAGGCTACCTCTCACCATCCTTTCCTCCTTTCCTCCTTCTTTCCCTCTTTTCCTCCCTTCCTTCCTGGCATTGTCATGAATCTGGGTATGGCTCAGCTCTTCATTTGCACCTATTCACCTAGAGTTTGTGTTCTCTCTGGCAATGTGAAAATTCTTTTGCTTTTTTCAGAAAGGTGGACCTCAAAGACTAGATCCAAAGTACAAAATGGCCCACTGGACTTCAGACACCAGAGAGATCCCCTTCAGTAGCTAACAGAGAAGGTTTGATGGAAGAGGTTATATTTGATCTTGGCCTTGAATGGTGGAAAGAGTTTTAATCAGCAGAGGGGAATAAAAGGTATGAGTGGAGGGAACTCTGTGAGCAAAGACACAGAAGCAGGAAAAAGGCCAGTGTTTGGCTAACCAGTTTAATTTTGTTCAAGTTCAATGTATTCTAACAAGAGTTAGGCTGGGGACTAGACTGGAGAGGACCATGGATACTCTGGTATTTTGGACTTAAAGATTTCGATTCTTAGAATGAGATATGCACAGTCATAGGAAAGATTTATTGAATGTACGGAAAACATGTTTTCTGATTTCCCAGGGAAAATCTGGCATCATTATATTTTTAAATTGAGATATAATCAACACATAACATTTTATTAGCTTCAGATGTACAACATTGTTTTAATATTTGTATATGTTACTCAATGATCACCACAATGTCTAGTTAACATCCATAACCATACATAGTTACAAAATCTTTTCTAGTGATGAGAACTCCTAAGATCTACTCTCTTAGTAACTTCCAAATATTCAATAGAGTATTATTATAGTCACTATGCTGTACATTATATCCCCTATGAATTATTTATTTTATAACTGGAAGTTTGTACCTTTTGATCTCTTCACCCATTTCAACCAACTCCTACCTCCCACTTCTGGCAATGACCAATCTTTCCTCTGTACCTATAAGCTCATTAAAAAAATTAGTTTCTACATATAAGGGAGATCATCTTTGACTTATTTTACTTAGCATATTTCCTTCAAGTCCATCCACGTTGCTTCAAATAGCAAGATTTCATTGTTTATAGTTGAACCACATTTTCTTCATTCATTCATCAATGGACACTTAGGCTGCTTCCATGTTTTGGCTATTGTAAATAATGCTGCAGTAAACATGGGGGTGCATATATCTTTTCAGTTTTGGTGATTTCTTTCTCTTTGGATGCTCAGAATTGCAATTTCTGGATCATATGTAGTTGTAGTTTTAATTTTTTGAGGAAACTCCATACCATTCTCCATAGTGGCCACAGTATTTACTCACCAACAGTGCACAAGGGGTCCGTTTTCTCTACATATTTACCAACAATTGTTATTTCTTTCCTTCTTGATAATAGCCATTCTAACTAGGTGTGAGGTGATAGCTCATTCTTTTTAATTTAAATTCAATTAGCCAAGGTATAATTTGGTTTTGATTTTCATTTCCCTGATGATTAATGATGTTGTGCACCTTTTCATGTACCTCTTGGCCATCTGCATGTTTTCTTTTTTAATTTTTTTTCCTTGTGTGATTTTTTTTATTATGTTCAATTAGCCATCATATAGTACATAATTAGTTTTTGAAGTAGTGTTCAATGATTCATTAATTGTGTATAACACCCAGTGCTCATCAAATCACATATCCTCCTGATTGCCTCACCAAGTTAACCCATCCCCCACCCACCTTCCTTTCTGCAACCCTCACTTTGTTTCCCAGAGTCAAGAGTCTCATATGGGAAGGGAAGGAAAACTGAAGGGGAATAAATAGGAGAGAGAGACAAACCATATGAGACTGCTCAATTTTTAATGATTGTTTTGTTTTTGTTATTGAGCTGTATGAGTTCTTTTTTTAAGTGAAAGAAGTGTTTTTATTTATTTTATTTTGTTTTATCCACTTAGCCACTGTACACTATATCATTAGTTTTTGACGTAGTGTTCAATGATTCATTAGTTATGTATAATACCCAGTGCACACCACAACATATACCCTCCTTAATACCAATCATCTTGTTACCTCTGCACCCCACCACACCCCCTTCTGAGACCCTCAGTTCATTTCCCAGGGAACATAGTCTCTCATAGTTCATCTCCCTCTCTGATTTCTCCTCCTTCAGATTTCCTCCCTCCCCATGCAGTTCTTTGTGCTAATGCTTATGTTCCACATTTGAGTGAAACCATATAATAATTGTCTTTCTCTGCCTGACTTACTTCACTTAGCATAATCCCCTCCGGGTCCATACATGTCGATGCAAATGGTGGGTATTCATCCTTTCTGATGGCTGAATAATATTCCATTGTATATATGGACCACATCTTCTTTATTCATTCATCTGTTGAAGAGCATCTTGGCTCCTTCCACAATTTGACTGTTGTGGACATTGCTGCTATGAACATTGCAGTGCATGTGTCCCTTCTCTTCACTACATCTGCATCTTTGGGATAAATACCTACTAGTGCAATTGCTGGGTCATAGGGTAGCTCTATTTTTAACATCTTGAGGAATCTCCATACTGTTTTCCAGAGTGACTATACCAGCTTGCATTC